CTTATTTTGGAACTAGTCTCATACATCTTTAGAATAAGCTTATCTAAAATGTCTGCAACAAAATATATCACAGGAAACAACAAGCCGTCCATTGTCCAGTTGTTAATGAGTAGCTAGCCTACAACAACAACAAGCCTTTATCCCACTAAGTGGGGTCTGCTACATCTATCCTTTTTCTCCATTGCGTCCTATTGAGTGTCATATTTTCATTTAATTCTAATAAATTAATTTTTTATGCAACATGACAAAGTCTTTTTAGGTCAACCTCTCTCTTTCTTAACATAATTTGAATCCAAAATATCTACTCTCCTAACCGGATCATCAGAGGGTACATGTTTAATGTGACCAAACCATCTCAGACGACTCTCTCTAATCTTGCCCGCCACTGAAGCTGCACCAACCCTATCACAGATATATTCATTTCGCATTTTGTCTTTAAGTATCAAGTAACTCATCCACCTATGCATTCTCATCTCAGCAACACTTAACTTTGTTTAATGCTTCTCTTCTAAAGGTCAACATTATGTGTCATAGAGCATTACAGGTCTCAACACCATCTTATAAAATTTTCCTTTAAGTCTAAACGGTACTTTTCTATCACACAATAGGCCCGATGCATTCCTCCACTTGAACCAACTAACTCGAATTCTACCAATAACATCTCCACTACATCACTATCACTTTAAACAATAGACTCGAGATATCTAAAACTTTTACACCTTTTAATGATTTGATCACATATAGTTACAACTCTGCCACTAGAGCTACTAATACTAAAATCACATTCCATGTATTCAATTTTAGTTCTACTCAAACGAAGGCTTTTAGACTCCAATGTAGGCCTCCATAATTCAATTTTTTCCTAAACTCTTTCTCTAGTCTTATCCACAGAAAGGTTATCATCTGTGAAAAGCATACACAAAGGTACATCCTCCGGTAAATGTTTGGCAAAAGCATCCATAACTAAGACAAAAAGATACGGTCTTAAAGTCGGTCCCTGATGTAATTTAACTAAAATAGAAAAATATTTGGTCAATCCATCTTCTGTTCAAACACAAGTAATAGCTCTAGTATAAATGTCTTTAACGACTTGAATATAAGTCATATCAATACCTTGGAATAAAAATAAAACTCAAGATTCTCTGAATAATCCCTCAAATTTGTGTGTCGCTAAGTGTTATTAAATCATAGGCCAGAAAACCAATTGATGGAGAACAACAAGTTTACCCACACTTGAAACAAACAAATAACCCTTCACGGAAACAAATAAATAAATGTGTTCAACAATGTTTTAGTTTACTTCCATTATTTTGTAAATGAAAGTAGTAGGTTCAAAATTTAATTAATATATTTAGAGATTTATGCAATGACTCTTGGATTAGATTGCAAAAAATTGTTAAATTTATATATTGATCCGCTTGATGAATATTAAATGTTAAATTTTTTAAATTTGAATTTGTCCGGACCGAGTAGATTCAGCGGATATCCACAAATTCGCACTTGTTGGAATAGTCAACAATTAGAAAAGTTGAACAGTATTTTAGTTTATCTTTATTATTTTGTAGAGCCATTTAATATTTTAACTTCAACATATTGTTTGAGCATATATGTTGATGTGCATGTGAGAACAGATTGTGTCCTCTTTATTTATGAAATCTGTAGATAGGTTCACCTCTATTTGGTTCAGCTTAACCAGATAATTCAATGACGGACCACTACTATTAATTTTGGTGATCTTATGTGTATGTACTAAATGGATTTATCTATTTTGGAAGCTACATGATTTGGTCTTTGTGGCATGGTTAAGTTCTAATTGTAATTTGATTTACACATGTTGGAGTAATTTGATCGAGTGGGATAAGGTTTTATTGCTTGTGGCAAAAATGCAATATTGTGGCTACCTCGTTCTTACTAAACAACTCATACAACGTGCCATTTGCAATTCTTGTACTACAACAACAACTAGAAGCCTTTATCCTACTAAGTGAGGTCGGCTATAAGAATCTTTTTTCTCCATTGTGTCCTATTAAGTGTTATATTTTCACTTAATTCGAATAAATTAAGATCATTCTTTATACAATATGCCCAAATTTTTTAAGGTCTGCCAATTGCAATTCTTGTAGTCGTAGTTAAATCATCTATCACTAATAAGCATGTGTCTCCTAGTGCAGGTTATTTGTTCCACATTCCTATAAAGAATATATATTTTGTAGGTTTGCTGCTGGAATTGATCAAAGCTTGGGATTCTATTTCATACCTTATTCAAATGCTTAAGCCATTTGAAATTATAGAGAAGTTAACTTATTGGAATTAGATAGTCATAAATATTATACACTTGAAGCATGTAATAAGACATCAAGATTCATAAAATTTGTAGTTCTTCAATCTCGAGTGAGCTACTCGAATTGGTTGTTGTACCATCAATAAGTTTTAATAGCAAATAGATTTATATATGTTTGAGTTATTTGGTCTCAGAGGGTGAGGTTATATTACTTTTGAGGAAGTTACAGCATTGTGGTTATTGAAATAGTAGCAACTGACTGGTTCCTATATGGGATTCCTATAGTGGGTTTCTTTGTGTTTCTTTTAGCTGTAATTGGTCCATCTACTATCGATATTCAAAAGTTTATTCATTCCCCCATTCCTATACATAGCATATATTTAGCAGGTTTGCTATTAAAAATCAATTAGGCTTGCAATTATGTTTCTTGATTATGTTTTATGCCTCAACCAAGTGCCTAAGATAATTGAATTTATGGAGTTGACCTACTGGAATGGATGGTCATACTAGAGTTAACCCAAACAACAATAAAAAAATCAAATATTATTGCTGAATTCAAAATTGGGAAATGCACCTTCACAAATGGAAATAAAAATAGCAACAAACACGACAAACGGCAGACGATTAGGGTGAATTTCAAGTGGTGATGTTGGCAAGGTGGGGAAAGTGTGAGACTGCAGGGAATCAACAGTAAGACCATGTCAACTAGCTGTGCTGTGCAGCTGCGAACCGCGATGGCTGGAACAGACAGGAAATCAACAAAAATAGGATGTCCTGAGGTGTCGGGATGAGAGGGAACAGCAGCAAGGCGAGCTTCTAGAGATGATAGCAAGTGTGTGAGAGAGGATTAGTTGCGGGAGAGACTAGGAGGCTGCCCAACAACAGCAACACCTTGCTGCTTGGGGCGGTGGCAGCAAGTCAGGTGTACTGGAACATCAGGTGGATAGTAGCAAGAAGGGGTTTTGGGCGGCAGTAGCAAGGAAGGGATGCGGGGGAACAAAGTGGAATGCCTGGGACAGCAGCGGCACTGAAGAGGAGGGAGGGAAGGACAATGACAGCGGCAGTAACTGCAGAAATTCAGCAAGATATGCTGTGCGGGGCGGTTGCAGCAAGGAAAAGTGACGGCAACAATGAAGGAAGAATGTAGAAGGTACAAAAATTGGAGATGGCTACCCCCGTGAGAACGACCCATAATTGGAGCACCATTCAATCCCTTGAAAGAAAATCACCACCTTGGACGAGCTACAGCTGAAGCACCACTCGCTTCTCGTTACAACCATTAAAGGGTGAAACTGAGATGTTGACGGCTATTCTAAACATAAACACAAAAAAATTGCAAACCTAAAACACCGAAATCACATATATAACCCCTAGATAACTAGGATTATATCCTCATATGGAAAAGAGATGCCAAACCAGCGTGGGAGAGCCGATCGGCCCTTTCAGGTCTGAACCGGTTTGGTTCAAACAAAAGAATCACAAAATAAAATCCCGCAGTGTTGTAGCTAGGATCGCATTACTGTAGCACATTGTAGCAAACTTTACCTAAATGCCTCCATTGTAGCTCCTGTGTCAAATGATTATTAATATTATATACTTGAGGCGTGTAATAGAAGATATTTAGCTTCATAAAATTTTCAGTTTCTTCAATAGTGTTAAAACTTGAGTGGATGTCGTTTTCTTTGAGAGTAGCTCAAGGTTGAATACTAATTTTTTAAGGCAATCATCTCTTTGTCTGGTGATTTCTTATGTTGTTCTACTTTCCTCAAAATAATTCAATATTGGCTTTGCGAGCATGATTAATTTTAATTAAATTTACTACTAGTTTTCAAATTACGGTGTTAATTCCAATTGCACAATGGATTTTTGTGGCTTTAAATTTTTTTACTATATTTCCTTGATCTGGGCAATCATTAAATTATTATTTGACATGAATTTCATGTATTTGGATTTTGCGCGAAAAGAAGATGATATCTTAAATTAATTGGTCTTTGGACTTACAAATCTCAATTACAACCGATAAGTTACACATTACACCTTTAGATGTAATAAAAATCATAGATCTAAGATGTCATGCATCACTAATCATTTTCAACTATTTTTCCTTGAAAAATGCTCCCAAGCTAGAGATGGAGATGCGCCTATTGCCCTGCTTTTTTTCCCAAAGTGCATGAGTTGTCCCACAGCAAACACAATCATAAAATAGGTGAAATGTAAGAATAATAACTACGCTTTTCTTATATAATGACTACCATTGCAATATAAGTTAAGCTGCCCAAGTTTAATCACCATTTCCATATTAAAGCTCCATAATCCAATTAGAGTTACAAACATAAATCTACATACTTTCTATCACAAGTGAAGAAAAAAAAAACTTGCTATAACACAGGATCACCAATCCTAAAATTCAAATGTCTTTGCAATGTAACAACCATCAGCAATACGGGATAATCCATTAGTGATAGTAAAGAATAACTACAAGGAATTCTCGTATTCCCCGTTTCTACCCCTTGTATTCTTCTGCGTCAACAATTTCAATTGCTCAAATAGAAAGCATCACCAGCATAAATCACTAATAGCTTCTCCCATTTCCACAAAAAATTTTGAATTTACCAACTTATTTTGCAATTTCAAAAGTTAAATTATATCAAACTCCAAAAGATAATTTCCGCCATCAGAAAACAGCTAAAAAACTAAATTTGAAAGGATTCGAACTAACTCCTTTCAGCTGCCTAATCTTGCTGTGGAGACCGGTGATTTGCTCGTCCAAATCGTCATGCATCGGATCAATCCGTAACTGGATCTCATCTGTGCCCGTCGACGATCTGGCCGTAAGCCCTTCCCTGTCATCATCGAAGGGCTCAAAATCGTAACATTAAAAAAGCGGTGATTACTAAATACACTTTTATTAGGAAGAAAACAAGGGGGCAAACCTCGATCTTAGAGGACCAGAGCCATAGTAAGGATTCGCCATGGTAGAACGGAAACGAAAAAACACGAACCCTGTTCTTTTCCCGAGGGGTCTTCGAAGCAGCTGTTTGGTAGCAGGATTTGAGCAGGCTTTACCCTAAATCCTGAAAACAGCAAAAAATGACAACATTAATCCCATTTGTCCTCCGTTTTGCCTTAAATTACCGAGGGCCTGTCCGGCAACGGATTTAGAGTAGGATTTAAGCTGGATTTGACATAAATCTTGCCCGACGGCCATTTTGAACAAAATAAAGCCTCGGATTTGATAAATCCAGATTTCACGGATTTCGTCCTTAAGTCATGGATTTACTAAATCCCGCAAATCGGTGGATTTAGTGAATCCGGGACGAACACTTCGCGCGAAAAAGAGGACGAGAAGTTACCTTACTCGATGGTTTCGGGTATGAGGGGAGCGGAAGGAGGAGAAAAATGGGAGTTTCGGGTCACTGTAAGCCGCGATCCCGTCGTTGCGTTCCCAACTAGCTCCAATTGCGACTGTATCGCGAAAGTTTCGGAGACGAAAGGCGATTGTTTTGGACGAAAGAGAGACGGAGGGAAATCCGAGGGTTTCGGGCCGAGGGGATTGATGCAGGCGAGAATTTTATTAATTTAATTTTATTTATGTTAATCTTATTAATTTAATTGATTAATAATTAATAACTAATTAAAATATTATCAAAGTAATTCTAATTAAATAAAATCATATTTATCATTTAATCAATAATTAATAATGAATAAAAGATATATATTAATTTTTTATTCATTTAAAATAATTTTATTTACTAAATTAATAATTGATTAACTATTTAAAAAAAGTTAAACTTTTATTTAATTATTAATTAAAATTATTTATATCAATAATTAATTATTTAAGTAAATATATAAATATTAATTATCATAATTTGAAAATAAAATATTATTTGAATTTAAGAAGCTAACACATTTTGACTATTTTGAAATATTTTAAGAAGACGGATTTTCACAATTTACTAAACTCTATTATGGTGTGTTGTTAGTAGACAATCATAGTAGATTTCTATATCTTAATAGAAATTGTCAAACAATTTCACAGGATTTAATCAGATTTGCTAATTCTATCAACAAACAATATTTTGGATTTAATCCTTTCAAGATTTATTAAATCTGGAATTACAAGATTTACTAAATTCTACTAAATTAATTCTCATTTGTTGTTATACAGCCCCCCGAATTACTAAATCCAGTTGGAAGGTGGGTTTGTCGGATTTAGAGGAGCTGAAGCGCACAAAGGACGGTGGAAGAAAAAGAAAGAAGAAGATTAGTCATGTTTGAGCAAAATGAAAATAATAGATATACGAAGGTTTCAGAGATCTTTGTGAGCCCCAATCCCGTCATTGAACCACAACTCTACCACGAGCGTTTCAAGCATAGGAGGAAGAAGGGACGTAGGTGATGGTTTCGATCAAAACCTAGACTAGGGCAAGGAGAACAAGTTTCATGATTTTAATATAATTTTATTGAAATTAATTACATAAATTTATTATTAACTAATTATAATTATAAAAACATATGTTAAAGTATTTTATAATTAATTTATATAAATTATATTATATATTAAATTTAATTAATTTTATCAAATTTTTATTGATTTTTATTTAATTAAATTAATAATTAATTATTAATTAATGAAGATTATTATTTTTAATAAATAACAAGTTTTATAAATTTTGTTAATACTTAATTAGTTTAGTAAATAATTTATTATTTATTAACAAAATTAAACTTTAAAATAAAATTAAACTTGATAATTTCACCATTAATATGTAATATTAAATTTATGTCAACTCAGAGACATAAATCCTAGGATAGATTGTCAAATAATTTTAGAAGATTTAATAAGATTTAACATGTCATATCAAATAATTTTTATGATTTGATGTATTCATAATATTTACTAAATGTTACATTTCTGCTTGCTGCCCCTAAATCTTATAAATTTTTAAATCCTATTTCTCCTCTATTTTGCCCTTAAACAGTGCTTACAGTTTATCAAATTCGATAAATCCAGAAGACAGAGGTAATAGTAAAACAAACGGAACTCGATAAAAGAGGGAACATAAGAAAATTCAATTTAACATTCATTTTTTTTTATGTTTGATGATATTCAAGTTAAATCCATGATTAAATCCTATTTACAAGACGCTACCAAACACCACTTAAATTTCGAATTGAATACATCTTGCTGGAAAAGGAGTATTTACTGGATTTGGACAAATAAAAGCACACAAGAAGAGGAAGATCAGAGTTTCATGAGTCTTCTTCTTCAAAGTAAGCAATGTAATATAACATCAAGATCTTTAGATAAGTCGAAGGTCACCATCCCATTCTTTCATCATGTTTCCTCAAGACTTGCCTTTTTTTTCATTTCTTTAATAATGTATATTCAATATTTTTATCATAGGAACAATTATATATATAGCACTCCAAACATTGCTATTTACAAATATAGCAACTTGTTTGTTTAATTTTCAAACTCTCCCACAAATATCAAAATTCATGATAAAATCCCATCCCATTTTTTTCATTTTTATCAAGTTCTCCATGATTTAATCATGACATACATAAATGCATCAATTTGTTCATTAAAATAACCATCTGATACTAATTTTGTAAAATAATATTTCAAATGTGGTGCATATAATTACCCCTTTTATCTATTTTTCAAACTCCAATTAAACGGGACAACACGCCTAGAGAGTGATACTACTAGACTAAAAGCTAGGACAATATGAATCAAACATGATATCCAAAATCATACTCTAATGTTATATTTGCAAAATAATATAAATAGACACTATTAGGCATTAGAAAATTCATGATTATACAGAGAAAATTTATCAACATAAATTTAAATGAAAATTCAAGAGACATGAAATTTTTTTATGTAAAAAACCTAGAAGGGAAGAAACCAAGGGACCTACATCAATTGAAACACTTCTATTAGTCATGAAGGAAGGTATTAATATAATAAGATTTGAATTATATAGATCACCTAAAAGGCAATAGAGAGTATCTCAAGTCACTTAAGTTAACAGTAGACATTGAATCATAATTAAGTTATTAGTAGACATTGAATCATTGTGGGGATTAGATAATAGCAAGTGTTGAAGATTGAGGATAAAATTGGGGTGATGACAATCATGAAGCAATAACTAATGTCACCAAAAATAAATATGATCAAGTACGAATTCAAATGCATATCTACTTTTATAACTCTGGACGCAAGTTCAAAATTACCCTTAGACTAATTTCAATATATTAATAATCAAATCAAACGTACCAATAAATGAACCCGATGATAAAAAAATTGTTATGTTCCAAGCACAGATTAGCCTAGACCAAGCAATTAAAATATGAATGAACGTTTGTCATACTAATCGGATGGTCAAATTGGTGTTTGCTTCACACATTTCTCTTGTTTCTGAAAATGCATTGGATAAAAAAGTATCAAGTCAATTGTGCCTTTCGTACTGAGGCGTACAATTACCCTCCCACGAAAGTACTTTGATTCCCTCTATCGCGTCGCAGGAAGGGTAAAGGGTTGCCATTTCTGCGATACCCAAGTGAGAAAAGCCACGAGGGAGAGAGGGCAATGAAGGGCAAAGACTTCCGTCGAAACAATTATAATGATTTCAAGAAGATGATTGTTGGGTTATTATTAAGTACGATGTCAGTTCTAGATCTAATATTTATAATTATGAATTTTTTTAAAATTTTGAATGTAATTTTTATTTTCATGTAGGAGTTATTCAATGTTTAATGATTATCTTACAAACAACGCCACAACAAAGTAGCAAAAAGATTTTTTTTCATAAACAATTGCTAAATAACTGTACAAAACAAACAGACAGCTTCCTCACAACCACTTCATCGCAAAGCGCTGTGCATCAATTTTTTCAAACCGATAAAATGGGTCCCAAACAGCCCTAAATGTTACATGCTTATAATCAAATTGAGTATCCACGTAAGAGAAAACCTAATGAGAACAAGATCAATTCAACAAAATGTTTTAGAATTTTGATTAGAAATAAAATCCTATGTAATGATAGTTGATTTAAGAGATCAAGCAAGTGAATTTCATGATTTTAAAAGCACAGTCAACATACAATGCCATCTTTAGCAACTTCCTTAATACATTTCAAGCCGCCATGCCAACTTACCGCTCACTCTTTCAAGTTCATAACCCAACTTGTGATCACAATGAAAAAAAGGGGAACTGCTGTAACCTAAGTCATTTCATTCAAACCAAATACAAACCAAAGTGTCTAACCGCTGTAAACAACCAAAGTGTCTAACCGCTGTAAACGGCCACAGAGAATCATAAAAGTCTACAGATTTAAGGAATTGCATAAATTAGTGATTTCTATGAAGTGTCATCTCAAAGAGATAAAAGCAGAATTAGCAAAAAGCTTACACAGATTCCATAGAGATTTTGAACAATACCACTTCAGCAAACTTTTAAAATGAATAAACTTGCCTGGCTTCTATAGTAAGTTTTGATGGTATAGTTTACCTGGTTCAAAAAATTTAACATAATAGTGCCTTCGCATGAAAATTAGGTATCCGTTCTATCTAGTTCGATAATCAGCCAAATTGACGCATAAAACATAAAAAAGGGGCATTTACATAAATACCACACATTTCTTATGAATTTACATATTTAACACCTAAACATTTATATTTATATGCATACCACTCTGATCTTTAATATCACATCAAAAATATTATCTTCACTATCCTTTTAAAAGTGAGATACGTCTTCTTCATTCATAGGGTTATGCCACCAAGATATGATAAATGTAAATATTAAATATTAGGTGTCAGATATGTAAATACATAAGGATTGTGTGGTAAGTTTGTAAGTTTCCCTAAAGTAAGAAAAGCTGACTATCAAAAAAGATAAATGAAACATAATTACTAAATTAAAAGAAAAAATGATAGGCCCACTCCAACATAAACCTAAATCAAATAACCATTGGATCAAAGCAGAACTAAGAATTCAGAACCGCATCACAGCAATTTAAAAACATCACTAGCACTCTCAAAAACATTTTGCTTACAATCCATCATCATATAGAAGTTCATATTCATAATTATAAAAACATATTACACTGAAAAATCACATAATGATGTGGAATATATATCATTGAAGTAACACAATTGCATGTACAAGGGCTACACAAACCATTGAAGAAAGATATTTTCAAAATCCATTAATACCTGACTTTATTGATGGATGAAAAACATGAAAAGCCGACAACACTTTTAAGCTAATCAAATATTTAGAATAAATTAAATGCTATGCAAAGAAGAAAATTTGATGAACCAACAATCAGCCCCCCTTTCATCAAAGTTATATATACTGACTATTGGAGTACTCCAAACTAGAGCTGAAAATTACCAGAATCATTCAAGGCTTCCTGCAGGTTCTTCACAGCACCATCATAGCTCAGAAATCCCATGAACCAGAACTCATGGTTGTCAACTGACACAATCTGAATATATTTTTCTGCTGGATTTGCTTGGCTTGTTGAAGGATTGATGGATCTCAGTTGGCGCAGAGGAATAACAACCTGGAAAGTTCATAAAAAAATGGGCATCAACATACATACCACCCAATTCCTCTGTGTGTGTGTCTCTCTCTCTGTGTGTATATCTAACACCTAAACTTTGATTTTTATGTTTATACCACCCAAATCTTTCATATCACATCAAAAATACCACTACTTTAACTTTGAAAAAGTGAAATACAACTTTTCCTTCATAGGTTAGGTGGCGTGTATATAAGAATTGAAGTTTAGGATTTAGATAAGTAATTACATAGGAATTGAGTGGTATGTATGTAAATCTTCCAAAAGAAAAAAAAAAAAACTTTAGAAAGAAGTATATCATACAAAATGCTGAGGATAAACAAGTTATATCAGCTTAGAAAGGTAGGAAAAGATTAGCCTTGTTTGGCTAAGAGCTAGGTGGGATCTAATCAGGATATTTGATGACATGCAATGATAGAACTAGGATTTGTAAGTGAGGAGGGTGAAAAGACGAGAAAAAAATTACCACAATGATATTGAGGGCGAAACTTCGATATTATACAGTTACCTAATGAAATAGGACTTTTCTCAACATGTTTCCTCCACTATTGACGAGAAAGAAATTAAATTACTCTAAAGCTTTAAATTTACAAATTCTCATTCCATTAACATTGATTTAGGGAATTCCGCCTTATCGAATGAGCATTCTGAGGAGTCCTCACAGCCTCTGCTCTTTATTCTCTAAAGTTGCTGTGCCGCCCAAGTCGTGGTCCAATATTTCATATAGAAAATGTCAAAAATAAAGACCACTGCTCTTCTTCTCAAGATCTGTTGTCTTACATTAATAATTAAGAGCATTTACATACGTAACACCCAATTCCTATGTATTTACATATGTAACACCTAAATTTTACTTTTACATTTATAGCACCTAAATGTTTCATATCACATAAAAAATGCCACCATTCTAACTTTTAAAAAGTGAAATATACATGTGTATGCATAATTAAGGTGGCATGTATGTAAAAAATGAAGTTGAGGTGTTAGATATATAAATATGTAGGAATTGAGTGGTATGTATGTAAGCCTTCCTATTAACTAATGCAATACGATTTTTTGTCATGTTACCAGGAATTTCATACTCTAAACAAGTGGCGCCATGCATGTTACTCAGATCAAAAAGGCAATTTGTATGGATGCATCACTGCTAGTCTACGAAATTAAATTTCCATGACCTGAGAATTTTTTGAAACAGTAAACAGAAGATCAATAATGCACATGAAACAGAACATTTCAATTTATATGTTGTAATTTGTAAGTCAAAACATGACCCCACCTCATTTGCACGTTAACATACAGGTTTCTGTGCTATACGAACTATACTTATAAACAACAGAAGTTCAGGTAAGAAGAACAAAATTAAACAAAGTGAACTTCAAAGAAAGAAGCCATAGAAATAATTAATAAACACAAAGACCAAGTAAAATAATATTTTCTTAAAACAGATTTAATTGGGAAAACGATAGAGGATGAGCATCACTAAGAGTTGCGTAGCTTCAATTTGTATATGGAGATACATAGATTTGGATCATGGAAATGAAGTCTTTGCCAATTAAATGATAATGCAGTATATTTCAGTCCCACTACAACCCCAAACTCTTTTAATAACTTGAGGCAAAAGAAAGAAAATTTGCTTTATAAGTTTCTTTTAAAAAAAATACCCTTAAGTTTACATCAACCATGTTTAGGTTAAATCATGAATTTTTCTCTAAAAGATGCTACAGTTAAGACAAAGAAAATGAACAAATAAACTGAAATTTAGGTGAAAAAAGGTACTTGCTTTGTAGTAGCTCCATTCGGTTTTTTCTGCAATTGTATAAGAAAGAGGGTTGTCACTGCAAAAGGCCAGCTTGGCAGTAGAAAGGTACAAGGTTCCCATAACAGGGCCAGCTGATGTTGACAAGTAGCATGCATATGACTTCTTAAGCTCTTCTTCAGGAAATGAGTCAAAAGTCTGTTGAAAAATCTTCTCGTAACCACCTTCAGCAATAACTTTGGTTCCTTGAGCTACCCTCCCCAAGGCAGCATCAGCAAAACTAGGTCCTGTTTTCACTGTCTAACAAAAACCTATTTAGCAGACATTAAAGAAAGTACAACTAAATAGATAAATAAATAAACCTTGCTGCAGAATATGTAGGCATAATCAGTGAAACTGAAATTTTAATGGATGAGCGTGCGACAAAACAATAGTAATCTAACAAGAGTGTTCAAAACACAAAAACTTAGACTTCTATCTATCTATTGTGGGCTCTAAGAAGTCACGCCCCGGACTCTCGTTGTATTGAAAGCTATTTTTTTTTTGTTTACTCCAAGTCAAATTTTCAGAAAACAGATTGGATTGTAGATAAAACACCATCCAGAGATTGTCCTCATTCTGTGAGAACACTTTGATATGGGGTTTGAGGTAATCAGAGATCAACGACAAGGCAACACAATTGATTAGATCTTCTAAGCTACTCGAGTCTTCCAAATTAGTTTGTTGAAATAGGCAAAGGTATGGTCATATGGTACTAGTGACAGAGTGATGCAAGGTCTATGCACCAAGCTGTTGGATTAGACATCCTGAGCTGCTCAACTCATTACGCCAAATTGTCATATATTGAGCACCTAAATTCTATCTTCAAAGAATTGTTTAAGCATGATAAATAATAGCATAGTCCAATTTGCATGCTTCAGTTGGACTTCTGTGGATAACTTTTTCAGGACATCTGCTAAAACATTTAGCCCCATACAAGACACAAAAATATAAGCTAGAAGTATTAGATAAATAATGGAAAAATAAACAAAATAAAATCTATAAATTTGGGTCTCCTCCAAAGACTCACTAGTTTTATAGTCATTAGCTTGACCCAAATCGAAATAATTTGATACAATAAGAATGATGATGGATTTTTTATGATTAATTCTAATCCTTAAATTTTATTAAACCAATTTAAAAATAAGACGCAGTAAGATAAGTTATCAAAGTTTTTCATAGGGTGTAAAGGGCTGCAGTTTTAGTCTAAATTTTTGGCAATGGTAGTGATGACCAAATCAGGAGTCACAATTACACCCAACAGAAAGAGAGGATTATGCCATACATTGAGAGTGGGGACCATCAACAGGGATTATTATCAATAAATAGTATTATCAAAGGCTTCAGAGAAGGTACCATCGAAGCTATCAAATAACAAATTGGTGGAGGCATCATCAAAGGTGGGCCAATGAGGGTGTTGATGGAGAGTATCGATGAAGGCGTCAACGAAGGAGCCAGTAGAGAAGTCAACAAACCACATAGAGAGGCTAGATGAAAACATCAACAAAGTCATCATTAAAAACATTGAAGGTCATCGTGTAGACATTGATGAAGGATGCCGAGTAGAGATGCCTTGGATGTAGACATCTTCGATGGAGTTTTGTCAAAATGTAGACGTCAACGACGAAGGGTTTCCTCAGAAGCATTAGCCAAGGGGTTCACTAAAGGGATCATTAATAGAGACGTCGTTGACAAAATGAATTTTAACAAAATATTTTTGATGGATAAATCAATAATAAAGAGGCATTGAATGATTAGTAATAGACGGGGTCTATCATGGGAAGACATTAACCACAGTTGTTGGATGGAAACATTGATGAAGGAAATTAGGTGATGCCAATGGAGATTGTCCACGAAAGTACCATGAATGGGGATTTCATCATTGACAGAGGGGGATAGTCCACAGAACAATTGTAAAAAATAACATTGGGTTAATTAAAACCTAAATGTAAGACCAACAAACCCAAATTTTATGTTCAAGAAATGAAAAAAAAAAATTTTATCATAGAACAACTTTGATATGGGTGCTTTAACACCTAAATTTACGCTTGCACTGATAAAGACTTTTACTATTACAATAAGCGTCCTGAATATGTTCTAGTATAGATTATTGCTAGTATAGATGTAGTACATTTTAGAGAATGGGTTTGAATGCAATTTTAATAAAGCCAAAAGTAGTCATTTTGTAACAATAAACCTCATTCCTCATTAAATTAAGTCATCAAAGGATATTCATGAGCTAAAAATTTATTAATAAGATCAAATTTGATAATACAAGATATTGTCGTTGCTAGTGTTTATCACGATTTTGGTAAGATATATAAGATTTTTGCTTAAAAATAATAAATAGGGGTGACAGCCCTAATGGAAGGATAACTATAATAATTTATATATTTAAAACCATTTCGTAAGCCATATCAATTATCTTAAGAGAATTATAGCTAAATTCAAACTGAATTTCATACCTAAGACCTTGAATGAAATATATATTGCCAATACAATGATCTCTATGGAAGAAAATTATATATATATATATATATATATATATAAGCAAATTATAAGTACCATTTTTAGAAATATTAAGTTAATCGTGTAGATGATCTCTATAACTTATGAAAAACAAATATTGTCAGTTTAATTTATGTGTCATAGAGTTCAAGCAAGTCTTACTTCAAAATTCAAAAATCATGTAAATTAGAAATATCATGTTTAGAATTTCTAAATAAACCATGCAGATGATCTGCATTATGAATAACAAATATAGTCATTTAAATTTATGTTTCATATAGTTCAAGTGAATTTTACTTTGCCATAATATTTGAGAAAATCCGTTAATCTAGAATGTCATTACCCAGCCTAAAATTTTGGAATTACCAAGGTAGGAACAAACTATTAGAGGGTGGTGTCATATTAGTCTAACATTTATAAAATTTCACAACAATCATTTAAACATTAAAGAACCACTAAACCATAAGAATTATTATTCATCACTCAAACAGATAAAAATATCATGTTCGTAACTATGCTAAAGAAAACCCAAACACAGAAACAATATTGTTTATTACATATTTTTATTAGCTCGTTTTATTTTGTAAGCATACACTCTCATGTTAATCGTTTTATTAGTTCCTTCAATATTTTGGTCATTTCAAGTTTGAATTGTATATCTAATTGATTACTCCTTGATGAAATTCTCATTACTATTTGTTGAAACGTTGAGTATATATTGACTTTCATGTATAACTAAATAATAAGTTTTAAAACAAATATAATGGATGAAACAATAAAAATAAAAGGTCAAGGCTTATTTTGTTTATTTCCCAATGTACATTTGAATTAAGTCTTCTCCTTGGTAAGAATCACTGGCCAAATCTCTTGGTTTACATGCTAATCATGTAGACTCGCGAACCATAATGAACACACACTACACAATATGGATTTTATCACAAAGGAGTCTGAATTCTAGAACTTGGCTTTTTAACCATTCATACATTCTGGATTTAAACAAATTGATTGAAATATTTATATTGAATGAATTTTATCAAATTCATTGTTAGAATACCAAATAACCAATTAATAAAATACACTTATGAGAATTGTTGAATCAAAACAACTAAATATAGAATTCCCATAGCATAAGTGTCAATTTTCCAAGTTTCCTGGGTGTTGTTTATCAAGTGTTAAATTATGAATGTTAAATTCCTCATCAACTATTGACTAATCAAAGCCAAATTACAATTCTGTAAACAATAAGTACAAACTCCAGTTTGTGAGATCGAAAACCAAGTATCAATAAGCTAAATAATTGCTAAATATCATAGTGAATTATGCAACGAGCAATCAATGAGTTTCTTGAGCATTATCAAATTTTGAAAGAACTTTGATAAAGAAAAGTACCAAAAATCACTTTTTTATGTCGCCAAAAAAAAACGAATGAATAAAATGTCTTAGTACTTTCCACTAAAAAAAAAATGTAATTGAAATATAACATACATGAAATGCTTCCCTTCATAATATTTCTAATTAAGGCTTGTATTTGGATAACTGGAGCACCAATGATTTCATTCCTTATTCCTTTCCATTTTTCGATTGTCTTTTTTATTGATCTAATACAAATTCCTTTAACTTTTCAGCTTAATGAGTTCTTCAAATAATGCACGAAGATGTAGACCATCTAGTCTGTTATGAACATGTCCTTATGAAAAGTGCAATATTTGGATTGGAGCAACAATGATTTCATTCCTTACTCCTTTCCATTTTTCGGTTGTCTTTTTGATTGATCTAATACAAATTCCTTTAACTTTTCGGCTTTCACGAAGTTTTCAAATAATGCACAAAGATGTATACCATATAGTTTGTTATGAACATGTCCTTATGAAAAGTGCAATATGACAAGCCCAGCGTATGTAATTGAGTATATAAAGGAGGCGGTCAACGAAAATAATCACTATCTTTAATTTTGTTCACCAATTCATCATAAGATACTCACAAAGCATTAGCAGTGATATTTCTAGCAATTATAGGTAACTTGTCTTTTGGCAGCATGTGTGAACGAAGTCGTAAGTTCAACTTGTTGCTCATAATGATAGTGCACTAGTTGACTACGGAAAGTGTCATGAAAAGTCCCAATTTTAGCCAAATTGAAGTCGCCTAAGCTTCTAATCATTAGATGTTGATATCGTCGTGAGTTTCTATATTCAAAATGTTGATGTTTCAATGTCTCCACGTAATTGTATTCATCTAAATTTATGGTTGTTGATGAGTTCTAGCATCTCCATCAACATCTTTTGGTGCCTCAAATTGAGTGCATATCTAAAGGATCATTCCCCAAAAATAGGAGTTAAGGCTAGGGAGACTACACGCTCCAAACGTTTGACATTAAAAACCTTATGTCAAAAACCATAGCTAATTTTTTAGAGACTCCTCATGTTCTTCCTAGATCTTCAAAAAAAAAAAAATTGTAAGTTCTTCAATGGCTTCTGACACTAATGAATTGTGTGATGAATAGACATATAAACTCAACAAAACTTTTTATACTTCTTGGGGAAAGCTTTGAAAATCATCCAAAAAGCACTTGTTTAAATGTTGTAAAAATAAATAACCACCATTTTATAGCGTTATTAATATCCAACAAAAAGTTGTCAACACAAAGTATGCTATACTATCCAATGGATATGACCTTCCCATATACAGATCTAAGTGTGGAATCTTAAATTTTGCTAGGGGTTGTCATGATTGTTTTTCTAAGAGAATGCAATTGTCCAATAAGTTTTTTGTTTCTCAACTAGTCGAGGTAGAGGACAACCTTTTTCATTGCTACGGATAGTAGATCTTCTATGACTGAAGTTGAAGTTAATATACTTACACTTTGAGGTTTGTTTTCATGTAATTGAGTCTTGGGATCCGTATGAAATTTATATTCTCGGAGATGTTCTGGGAATTTGCTCCAATAATCCTTAATCATCTTTATAATCCTGTCTTCCACCTTTGCTATATGCTTTTTGGAGGCAAAGTTTCATTTCTTCATGTTTACTTTCTTTCTATTCTGCTGCTCTATTTCACATAGCACTTGAATTTAGTTTTTAGTACAAGTGCATGTTCACTGCATCTTACAAAATGTTGGATCTAAATTTTTCTAATTGTAACATGAGAAATATATTAATAAACACAACAAGACAAAAATAACAAAATATAAAGAGAGAAACAAAATCATGAGAATCTAGAGAAATGCTCTAAATTTTCACCATATTGTAGAATTTATTAGACTTGAGTACGAACAGCTTTGTGTCATAGGCCTTCCACCAAACTCTCTATTTATAGACTTGCACCAAATTTTGGCACTACAAGAAAAAATCATACAAAAGAAGAAAATATGTGACAAGACTGAACAACTGCTTGTTGTCAAATACATGAATCACGTAGCCGGGAATATATGGAAAAACATATTAATAATTGACTTAAATCACAGCTAGAAATTGTGGCTCAAATGAAGGCACCGACATGTTTAATCTATTGTTATGGAACAACAATTGATCAATTTGGTGTGATCAATTGTTGTAGTCTCTCCTCATGCCGAGTAAGCATTGAGGTGAATACATCATAAATCCAATCCTGAATATAAAGCATTATGGTGAGTTCATCATGAATCCCATAATGAATACATTAGAGTATTTATGAGTTCATTGTGGAGAGTTTGTGAAGGATTTGGCCCGGTCATTATAGTCCTGGCAAGTTCAACATATCTTTGAAGGCTGCATGATGACTCTGACGAGTTGCACAGGAACCTAGAGTTCATATATGGTCTGACGAGTGCATGCAAGGCCCATCAAACTCATTTTAGAATTTAAAACCTTGACCCGGTTTGGCTCAATCCAATATCATGAAATATTTGAATACATATCCCAAAAGTGCACAAGGATAATTCAATTCATGGCTACGTAATGGAGAATAAAACGAGTAAAGTAAATGAACAGGAAGATAAACAGGAACTTCTTTAAGCAAAACTCATCCGAATATTTCAACTCACAGTGCTGCCAAAAGTTTCCAGCAAGATCCTCCGTCTTCTTCGCAGTCTCACCCAACATCTTCCCCCACTTCCCCAGCACTTCCTTCACTGATTCCATGGTATCTGGTAAATGCAATCTTACATCAACCCTACTTTCCGAAAACATTTAAAAACCTTAAAAAAAAAAGAAAATCTCACTCTTAGAGGAAAACGGTGCGGGGTTGACGTAGGGATTCCCCTCCGTCGGTATGGAGGTACCCTCGCGTTCAGCTGCGTCCCACGCAGTTGGCGGCGGCGACGGCGCTTCCCTGACCAGATCGCTGCTCCAGCTGACTGATTTGGGCGAGGAACTGGACGGAGGTGGAGGAGGGTGGTGGACGTCAGCGTGTTCGATCTTAGGGCATGTTGCGTGCTCCATTGATTGTCCTCTAGTACCGGCGCCGACGCAAGCGCTATCTTCAGAGGACGCGGAAGCGGTTTTCGGGCCGGAGCGATCCGCGGGGGTCTCCATGGTCGACGCCCTCGCAGCAATCGAATACCTCCGTTATTCCGGTCTGCTGTGTGCCGATGAATCTACTTCCGTTTTCCAAAGTTACTAATAATATATTATCACGAGGAATTTTGCATCAGCAGACCTACCTTAATGAAAAAAATAATAATAATTTAATATTTAGGGGTCTGTCTGTACACTACATTTAATTGGAGTCCTCAGACAAAACTACATCAGGGAGTCTTGACACAATATTATTTCATTAAATTTTGAGTTAATTTTTTTTCGAGTCTCAACTAGAAACCGGTATCTCTTAACAATCATAATGTTGAGAGGACTGAATTCAATAAATATAACTTCTAAGATCATTAATGTTTGAAAATTGATTCATCGAGATAAGTTCGAAATAAATGAGTCGAGCTATGAGTCAAAATTCTGAATTGAATTTTTTTCGAGCCGATATTAAGCCGACCCTACTTGGGATTAAAATCGAATAGTAATTAGTTCTGGATGTGACTTTTATGTCGAAGCTCCTTCAAATGAGCCCTTAGTCATAGTTCTGAGGGAGCGAAAGCTCTTTACTTTTTCTTAAGATTTACATGCATACCCTCAATTCCTATTTATGTATATATCTAACACCTAAACTTCAATTTTTGCATACATGCCATCTTGCTTATTCATGAAAATGTAAATTTTACTGTTTAAAATTTAAAATGATGGTATTTTCTATTTGTTATGAAAGATATATAATTTAGGCTCAAACATAGTACGGTCTTGAATATAATTAATTATATGTCATCCACACCATAAAAAACATTTTCATAGTTATCTCAATATAGACATTCCCAGGCATGACTTGACATGGGCGTTCGCCCTTGTAGGTTCGCCCTTGTAGGTTACGGGTGAAATATTCCCCAGAAATATAATATTAATACTCATCATCACCAAATATTTAGGGCTGAGAATTTAGTTTGAAGATCGGTTTTTTTTTTTTTGATGACTTAATTATTGTTGTTCTTGAATTTACCGGCATTCGCCCTTGCCTGTAAAGCCTCATATGTATCAAATCTTGAAGAGAATAGCTTCTTGATCGAGTTAAGAAAGCACTTCAACATGGTCGGAGTTGAGGGAGCACACATTACGATGAAAGTTGTCCTTCATACTAGAAGCGGTTCTCAAATAATTGATATATGAATGAAATGTGGGATGACAAACCCATAACAGTCGTGCCCAGGATGTTAACATAAACAACCCTTCGAGACTACAGTGAAAGTTCCCCCAGCCTAGAAGTAATCTTCACAGACTTTGTATATGAATGAGATGTGATAATACAGCCCCGCCACAACCGTGCCCAAAATATCAACATGAACGACTTTCCGAGATTGCAACAAAGGTTGCATCTCACATCAAAGAATACAAAGAAGCACAGGACGCCTCAAAATTTATGACTGTTTCAATTAAAATTTCATTTCCATAGACGACACCAACTTGATGCATGTCCGAAGATTTGCAATAATGCAGTATAGTACAAAAATCTAGCACACACAAAGACATAAAAAGAGTAGCAGGAGGAGACACCTCAATTTTTTACATGAAAAACCTTAAAAATGGGAAAAAAATCCTGGAGCGTTGACCTGTTGAAACAATTCACTATGTAGAGGTGAGTACACAAATACACTTTTCTACTAAATTAGGGAATATGAAATTACAAAGTTGATGTATAACGATATTTCAACAACAATAGTTGTAACAATTCATAAAAGCCATAGTCAATTGCTATGAAGAAGGTAGTCTATTGTGAATGTTGTAGACAATGGTTGCAATGTCGACATATTGCATAGGTTGTATTTAAATATCATAGTAGTAGTTTGTCATGTAGATCGTAGATGATTGCTTCAGGGTAGTCAGGTGACCACAAGAGCTGTAATAGGGAGATGCGGAAGCTATGAGCCAAGTAGGCAATAGTTGGTCACATAGGTTACAACAGTGAGTTGCGGTGAAATTCATAGATCATAGAGGGCAGTGTTGGGAGCTACATGAGTTGTTGGTCACTTAGGCCGTAGTGGCAAGCTACAAGGAGAGAACTTCAACGGTCCGGAGAAAGTCATTGTATTATGAGTATGAAGAATATAACTAGCAAGGTATTGTGAGGTGTGTTCTTACACAATTTTGGGGTGTGTCATTACACTGTTTATAGAATGTGTTGTTACACCATATGGGGGGGGGGGGGGGGGGGGGCCTGA